CGGCCGCGGTGCCGGCCCCCCCCCCACCCCCCCGCGTGCCCCTCACCTCCGGGACCGCCGCGGAGCAGCACGGCGGCGGGGAAGGCCAGCAGGAACAGCAGCAGCAGGCGGGGGAGGAGTCTCATGGTGCGGCCGGTCAGCGTCCACAGCGAGTCCGCTCGGGCTCTCGGCGGCTCGGGCGGTAATGGCGTTACCCTTCATCCGGGCTCCGCGGGAGGGGCGGGGCACGCACGCGCGCCAGCCGTGGTCCCGCCCAGCCACCGTCGACGTGGCCTCTAGGCGCCCAGGGGCGGGGCCTGCGGGCCGCGGGATCACGTGGCCGGCGGGGGCGGGGCTCCCGCCAGAGCCTTGCGGGCCCGCCCCTTCCAGGTACAGAGCTCCTTCGCTGGGGGTGCTTTGAGGGACAGACCCCCTCGGTAAGTGACAGTGACGTGAGGGACGTAAACTTCCTGCATGTGTGGCGATTAGAGGACGGAAAGGGAGGGCTGTGGGTAACGACAAAAAAGCCACGAGTCACGCCTCCCGCTGGAATCCCAGCATTTGGGAGATTGAGGCAGGAGAATTGCCGGCTAGTTCGAGAGCATCCTGGGCTATGTTGTGAGCTCCTGGTAAGTCTGGGCTACAGAGTAGACACCTTGTCACAAAACAAAGCAGGTAGAAAGGGGAACACACAGATAGGAAGATCTACCCCCATCCTCTACAATAAACAATGAGAGTTCTGGAGTTTTATTCTTTTAAATTTTACTGTGTGTGTGTGTGTGTGTGTGTGTGTGTGTGTGTGTGTGTGTGTGTGTGTGTTTGCCGGTGCACGGATGAGGAGGCAGTCAGAGGACAACTGGGAATTGATTTTTCTCCTGCCCCTTTTATGTGGGTTTTGGACTTGAACTCTGGTCCTTAGGCTTGAATCACAGCCATCTCCCAGGCTCAGTCTGGGATTTTTTTTTTTTTAATGTAACAAACCCAGACTTAGAAATCATCTAGCATTTCTGCTGTTTCCATTCCAGAAGTCCTGGCTTCTGGTTTATTTCTGGCAACTTCAGCTGGCCCGTGTGAAATAAACTCATCAGAACCTCCAGACAAAATCCTTTGTGGGGATTTTCTTAGTTATTTTTCTGTTGTTGTCAAGAGACACCATGGCCAAAGCAATGTATAAAAGAAAGCATTTAGTTTGTAGGCTTGTTTATGATTTGAGGATGCGTTCATAACCATCACATCAGGGAGAATGGGAGCAGTCGGGCATGTTGCTAGTGCAGTAGCTGAGAGCTTAGTGTTGTGCCAAAAAGGACCAGGCAGAGAGGTAATTCCAATGGTGTGCAGTTTGAAACCTCAAAGCCTACCCTCAGTGACACACCTCCTCCAACAAGGCCACACCTACTCCTTACCAAGCAGTTCCACCAACTAGGACGAAACATTGGCCTATGGGGGCCAGTCTCATTCAAATCACTGTAGAGGCTAAGCAGCCACCAGGATGTCTGGAGCCTCTGAGCCACAGAGGGAATAAACAAACTTCCCTAGCAATTGTTGATGACTGGAGTGGAAGTCACAGCTTACATCAAAACTTACAAACCTCAACAGGTGCAGGCCGGTTGAAACGTTAAAGGACCAGAAGTACTCACCACCTGAAGTCAGACCTGGGAAGGGGACAGAGTCAGTGAGGCCCTCAGAGCAGTAACAGTGCATGTGTGACTTCACCTCAGTTACAGTCCCTGTCAGTTTCTTGTGCCAGGAGAGAGCACCAGGACATGCTTGTTGAAACAACCACAAAAACTGGTGGTCTGAATAAGGACGGCTTCCACAGGCTCACATATTTAAATGCTTCGTCATCTAAGCATGGTGCTATGGAAGAAGGAGGATTAGGAAGTGTGGCCTTGCATGGCAGGCCCTGTTCTCTGTCTGTCTGTCTGTCTGTCTGTCTCTCTCTGTCTCTCCCCCCTCTCCCCGCTCTCTTTCCCTGCTGCCTGTGGGTCAGGATGTAGAACTCTCAGCTACTTCTCCAGCACCGTTCTGCCTGTGTACAGCCATGGCCCCTGCCACGGTGATAATGGACTAAGCCTCTGAAACTGTGAGCCAGCCCCCAATGAAAAGTTTTATGAGTTGCCTTGGTCATGGAGTCTCTTCCCAGCAACAGTACAGTGACTAAAACAGTGACCTTTTCCACCTCAGCCACTCAGAGCAGGTCTGAACCGATACCCATGACACAAAAGGGCCTTTTTAAAATTTGTTTTTGTTGTTGGTTTTTGAGACAGTGTTTCTCTCTGCTGTCCTCAAAACAGGCCTTGAAGTGGAGGTGAAGGATTAGTCCATCCAGTGGAGAACCCAGTATAGTCTCTGCCACATCAAGACAGTGAAGTGGGAGGCAGCTTCAGGGGAGCCCCTCTGCTGCTGCATGGCTCCCTGCAGTAGTAGCTGCTGCAGCAGTGCCAGCACTGGTGACCATTGTTGAGCACTGTTAGGTAATTAGCTGTGAAAGGTGCAGCAGAAACCAGTTTGTGTGCTCAGAGGTGACTGGTATGTAATGACCTCAGGGAACATAAAACATGGAAACGGGAGAGAAAAAGACCAGCATATACAGCCATTTAATTATCTAAAAAGCAGAAGTGAGTGTTTCAGGGAGTCTTGAGCCAAGCCAGCTTTCCCTCAGTGCCCACCAGAAAAGTTCCCCTTTGTTGGTTGTAGTATTTATTAAAGTCCCATCTACTAATTTAAGCCTTCCCTAATATCCCCTCTCATGTCTCCCTGTCCCCTCCCAACTTCTGACCTACCTTTTGGGAGGTGCCTGTTTTCCAGGAAGATGAGGCATCCAGGATAATCACACTGGTACAATTCCGACAGGTCCACAGGTGATTCTCTGCTTTGGTCGTTTGACTCCTTTATAATATGTGGGAGCAGAAAATCACTTCCCTTGATACTGAAGTTTGCCTCAGCATTGCTCAAGCCTCATGAGCCCTGGTTTGTTCTCTGCATTCTCCAGGTGACTGCTTGTCCTTCAGAACCTCACTCATCTGGCATCTCCTCCACTTACCCTGATCTGCCTTAAAATTACAGCCCTTGGACTGGAGAGACGGCTCAGTGGTTAAGAGAGCTGTTTTCCAGATGACCCACATTTGGTTCCTAGCACCCATAATTACAGCCTTCCTGCCCCCCTCTCTCTCAGGTCCCCCATGTTCACTTCATAGCATTTGTTATCTTCTTATATAATCCTTAGCTCTTGGGTCTCCTGTCCATGAATACACCCTAACACGGTGATATAAAACAGTCTGATACCAGGGAACTTGGTTTTGTTTTGAAACAGGGCTTTCTTGTACAGCCCAGGCTCGCCTTCAGCTTTGGACCCTGCCTCAGCTTCCTGGGGGCTAGTACTACAGGTGTGGGCCAACATGCCCAGCTTGTAAAGAAGTCATTGAACTAATGAGATACGGTTTTGTTATAGTTACATCTTTCCTCCTCAAATTTGTAATCCACTTGGAGGTCTAATAAAATATCAATCAAAACAGTTGTGTTTATTGTTTGTGAACAAATACTTAAGTGTTATTCTATGTATCAAGGAGGAGAAAAGAATTAAACCTTCTATTGTATACTCTCAGAGGGAACAAAAATCAATGGGGAAAGAGAATGGAAAGCAAGGCTGTCCTGGCCAGTGACTCAGTTAGCAGGAGGGCCTCTTTTCCTTCCCCAGCCCACACTTCAAAAAGAACATGAGCAGTCCTGCCAGCGGATTGACCACAAAACACACCACTTCACCTGCCTCTCTCCCCCAAGGCTCTGCCTTCCTTTCTCTTACAGTAAAATGTTTATAGGCCAGTCAGAAGCCAGTCATCATTTGTGGTTTAGATCCTGTCACCCGTGTTAAATATGATTCTAGAACATTCCTCTCGACACCACCGTAACTGCCTTTCAGTGCATCACTCCCATCAACATACACTACCCTCTGCTGTCACCTCTCAAACTGACGACGGCTCATATCCCTATCAGTGAGACTTCACTCTCATTTTGCAATTTTCTTCTCAGTATAGTGCAGCTTGGATTTTAAATTCTCCACTAAAACTTGATAGACCCGGTAACACTCATGTAAAGCCAAACCCCACCCTGGCGCTCATTTTTCTCGACCCTGTGGCTCCTCTGCAGGACTACTAAATAACAATACGAAGCCCCCCGACAATGGATTCACAGCCTCGGGAGTGTCAGCCCTACCTGCTTTGGTTCTGTTTGAGGGCCCACAGGACACTCCCTTCAGCAGAATGGGAAGGAAGGCCCTGGGAAGAGTGCTGTTAGGAGACAAGGGTGAAGTGCAAGACATCCTGGACAGAACTGGGCCAATGGCAGTGGAGATAAGAGGATGGGATGGGGGACAGGCAGAAATAGCCTGGGCAGGCTAGAATGAGATTCAGTGAGACTAGGAGAGGGAGGGGGATGGGCAGAGGGCACAGTCTGTAGAGAGCTATGCCGCTGTAAAGAAGCACCACCCTAGAGAGAGGACAGAAGGACACCTGTTAAGTCCATGACCCTCCTCTTGTGGTTGCTGTGATAAAATAGCCTGACAAAAGCAACTGAGGGGAGAAAGTTCTAGATTACAGCCCATCATTTGGGGGAATTCAGAGACAGCTGGTCACATTGCATCCACAGGCAAGAAACAGAGCAAACATGCTTTTATGTTCATCTCTCTCTCCTTTTCGTTCAGTCTAGGACCCAATCCACAAAATGGTTCCATCCGGTTCAGGGTGGGTCCTCCCCACTCAACTAAATGAGCAAACTATTTCACAAGCTTGCTCACAGGCCAACTGATGTAGACAGCCCCTCATTGAGCCTTCCAGGGGATCCCAGATCCTGCCTAGTTGACAACAGAGACCCCAGAAAGAGTACTGCCTAATTTATACAATTATGGGACTCAAGTTCAGGAGGCTGAGGGATGTCCACTCTTTAAAAAAAAATAGAGGACCAGCCTCCAGCAGCACAGGGCTCAAGGGGGATCCACAGAGTCGGCGAACTAGGACAAACAGACACACATGAGGCGGTTTCTGAGGGCCAAAGCTTGGTTGGTCATTTTATTATTCTTATTGTTTCCTTCTGTCTATCTCCTAACTTTCCTTCTACATCTTTCCTGGTGTTTTCCTTTTCTCATTCTTGATGTTTTCCTTCTAACTGACTTAATTTTTTCCTCTCACAGCTTATATACCCCAGCAAAATCTTTCAAGCAATATAAAAATTACAATGTGGTTACATTCTGTTTTTCCAGTGGATGATTATAATGAATACAGGTTAAAAAAAAAAACATGTTTTCCATTTCTCTTACATGATTAAAACAAAGTCATTCCAAGAACCCATGTACATTCACATCTAAGTAACTTGCTACAGAACAGAGTATGAGCAAGCAGGGTATTTTTATCAGCCAGTTCTTTTACTAGCGAGCTGCATATTGTGGTTACAAAGAAAAAAAAATCAATCACTTTATTGCTATCTTGAGAGGTAATCTTATAAAGAGTCTTAAAAGAAGCACAAACTTAAACTTTTATATATGAAGGTATATATGAGCCAGATGATTTACATATGGCCTCTGAAAGTGTGCATGGAATGAACAGACATGCTTGCTTGGTTATTGAAAGAGCCATCACATCAGTTCCCAGCATGCAGGGTAAATGGAAATAAAAGCATGCTTCTGAGACCGCTGCCACTTAACCCAGCCAGCTAAGATAATAAACTAAGAACCCATCTGGCAGGGCCTGATGGCACAGCCTTGTAATCACAGATACTCAAAAGACCTAGGCAGGTGGATCACAAATCCAAGGACTGCCTGAGCAGCTATAGAGAGATCCTGTCTCAGATAATTATTCAGTGGTAGAGCTCTCACATGGCACGCATGAGACCCAGCACCAAGTAAGTAAGTAAATAAATAACATGTCTGAGGGCTGCCTATGTAGCTCAGTGATAGAGTAGTGGTCTATATTAAATCTGAATTTTTTCTCTCTGTACCCCTTCCAAGTCTCCCCATCATTCTGTCTGTTATTCCCTTTGGAGACTAAATCCAAATTTAATTTACCACTCAGCAGGCCCTCGTAAATGCTAAGACACATCATGTCATATGATCTGAAATGCTAAAACATCAAGATTCCAAGACTTGAACCCAAGCCTTAGGATTCATGTTGAGGGCTCTTTTTGCCATTTCTATTGTCTCTTGTTCTATAGTTTAACAGACTGCACTAAGTGCCATTAAAGTCAGATAAACTGGGTGAGATGACTGACCATCCTGGACCCACAAGTCAGGTTTGAAACCCAAGCTCTTCCAGTGGCGAGAGATAAGGGTGATCATGAAGAACAAGAAATGCCAATCTAGAAAACTTAAACTTGGTCCCAAGAGCTCTTGGAGGGACTTGGAGTGGGGAAGTGATGTGGAACATGCTCTTTTGAAATACCCCCTTAGTAATGACACATAGAGGAGGTGGATCGAGGTGACAGCAGAATCCAGAAGACAGCAAAGCTACTTTTTCAGGCAAGAGAAACTGTGCCTGAGAACTAAAACCGTGACCGTGGACATAAAGTACATGGTAGTTTGAATGTAATTGGCCCCCATAATCTCATAGGGAATGTGGCACTATTAGCAGTTATGGCTTTGTTAGAATGGGTATGGCCTGGTTAGAGGACGTGTGTCACTGTGGGGGTGGGTTTTGATGTTTCTATGCTCAGGATACTGCCAAGTGTCTCAGTCAACTTCCTGCTGCCTGTAAGATGTAGGACTCTCAGCTACTCCTCCAGCACTACATCTGCCTGCACGCCACCATGTTCCCTGTCAGGATGATAAAGGACTAAACCTCTGAAACTGTAAGCTGCCATGTCAACTAAACGTTTTTCCTTTGTAAGAGTTACTATGGTCATGGTGTCTCTTCCCAGCAGTAAAAACCCTAACCAAGACATAACTTAAGTCAGGGTTTCTGCAGAGTCGTGCTTTTGGACAGCCTGGGCTGGCTTTCCTTCACTTGTTTCATCCCTTCAGTGTGAAGACTCCAGACTTAGCTGTCTTTGTAATAGTTACCTTCCAGAACATTCGATTTTCCTAGAGGATCCTTGGATTATAAGGAAGGGTTCTTCTTATGCTTGGGTGGCTTCACAGCTCTCATGCTCACCTTGCTGAAAGGAGACACCACTATGGCTGCAGCTCTCTTAACTGGTCATAAGTGATGTTCCATGTTTTCATATGATTTAAAAAATATTCTGATTTTTATCATTTTCCCCTTTTTCCATTAAAATAAATTAGTTGAATTGCTGAGCATGTCAATCTCAACTGACCCAGAGCTGTCTGAGTGGGTCTCCTTTTCCCCTTGCACCTTACCTGTCCAGAGCCCTGCAAGCTCTTAAGCCTGTCATCCACCCAGCCATGTTATGTGACCTGCCTCCCCAAAGATAGTAGTTGTCTGAACCCCTAGGAGAGGTTCTGGTGAACCACCTTGTCCAACTGTTCCACGGCTCCAGCAAACACCACATTTTCTGCTTCTGAGTTCAGATAGGCCCTGCCTTACAGAGTTCTCCAGCAAAGACAGACGTGGTGACAGCTTGCCTCAGTCAGCGTGTCTTTCAGAACCAGTCACGCACTCCACACAAACTCGCACTTGCACCTGACTGACTGACTTTGTGAGAGGAAACAATGTCCACCAGCAGAGCATGTTGGTCAACAGCTGTTGTTGGGGATTTGACAAAGGGGTGGAATGGGGTGAAGGCAAACCTGGAGGTGGGAAACCAAGCAGGACAGAACGTCCACAGGTCACATGTTTGGTGTGCAAGCGCGGGGACCTGATTCATACTCCTAGCCTACATTTTAAAATAGCCGGCACAGCGCTGCATGCTTGCAGTCTTGGCACTGTGGAGATGGAGGCAGGAGGATTCCTGGGGCTCCCCGGCCAACCAGCCTACCCTATTTGGTAAGTTCTAGACCAATGAGAGACCCTGTGTCCTAAAACAACATGCATGACTCCTGGGAAGGGACACCCAAGCTTGTCCTCCACCTTAGATACTCAAGTGCGTGCGGGGGCACGTGCACATGCACACACACGTGCACACAATACAAATAAATTAACTTCAGGAATTGAGTATTTAATCATGTATTACAGTCAGTTCACACGGAAATAGAACATTCTTTACAGTGTCCATCAAGATGACCTATTAAGGTCATGGACTTTGGATGATTTTCTAATCTTGGTCTGTAAGAAAGAAAGAATATGATGTAAAAATGGGGAGAGAAGACTAAAATAGTGAATATGGCTTTAAAAAAATCATTATTTTGGCATATTTGCCTATCACTTTCAAGAAGTTGTCCTTTAGGATCAAACTATGAGACCCTAAAAAGACAAAACTTTCAACACATAGTGTGTGGACCATCTTCAATGTGGCCCATCCTCAATGTGGTCCATCTGTATTGTGGACTATCCTTAATGCATGTGAAATAAATACTGGGCCACAGTCTCATTATATTTAATAGGGTCCTAATTTACTTACATCAAGATTTAGCTTTGAAATGAAAACCTACAAAAATCTCCTTGCAAGTGAAGAACTAGGAGCAAAAAAATAGACATCGGGGTGAGGGCTGGAGAGTGGGGATGGCTCAGTGACAGAGAGCATTTGCAGGGACAGAGTTTGGTTCCCAGCACTCCTGTTAGGTGGCTCACAACAGCTCCTAACTCCAGCTCCAGGGAGTGCAAAGCCTCCGTGGTCACCTGCACTCATGTGTACATATCCACACACACACATAGACATACGTAAAATAAAAATGTATTTTAAAAAGTTAGACATCTGGGATTGTTTTTTTAACCCCAAAGTTCTGCTCTTTCCACTGCCAGAGACAACTGAGCAAAATCAGCACCGTGATTTTGAGAAGAAGCAGAGGAAGTCTCAAGCTACACTGAAGGGTACACTGAGGTCAGAGGTCAGTCAAGACTTCAGAGCTCATCATGGCTGAAGCCTGCAGGGCTCTGGAGTTTTCACCCAGGACTTAGCAGCTGGGGGTGCCTTGTGACCTCTTTCCCTGATTTCAAAGTCAATAAATCCATGCAAATATGCCTCGCATTCAATGTAAAAAATAGCTATGTGATAAGTAAGCAAATGTCTCAATGGGTAAATGTATAAAATTATATGGAAAATATTTTTAAATAATTCTAGAAAAAATACCATAGTATGTTGCTACAACTCAGAGAAAATCCATGCTGTTTTGGAAATCAAAATTCCTGAGCAGAATTAAACTAGTGTTTGCAAAGTGATCATATAAAATAACTTATTTTTTTTTCTCTAAATCTCCAGTTTTGGTATATGTACTGCTGAAGATAGGACCCAACTGCGTACTTACAGTTGACCTAAAAGATCGCGTACATATCCTGCTGCACGGGGCTACATGACTGAGACTGTTCTAAAATTACAGATTAAGAGTTCATGTTAGTGAAGGGAGTCAGTTGATAAACACGTAGAAGGCAATAAACACCTCAGCTCATAACCCCAGCAGTCTTTTGCTTAGAGCTTCTGTGAGGGCAGGCAGCCTGGCCTTCTTATTCAGGCTCTACAAAAACTTGATTGTAACTTGGTAGGTGGAACATGCCTGAAATCTCAAAACTTGGGAGCACTTAGTGGAAGGATTTTGTATTGTAATCTGTGCTGCATAGCAAAAAAATAGCTCAAAAAACAATCAACCAGATATAAGACCATCTCAAAATAATATAAAAAACAAAACCTGTGTTTAACATAGTATCTTGCTAAACTTTGCAGGCTAGCTTCCAGAATAGCTGGGGGTTTTAGATATGTGCCACTGGGCAAGGCCTACAAGAAAACTTTGATCATGCAACTATTTTATGCTAGAAAAATATGAAATACTTCATATTTATCTTTTAATCTTAAATAAAATATAAGGGGAGGAAATTTTTTAAATGTATTATTTACTATATATATTTTAAAGATATTATTTTTTAAAAAGGAAGGGAAGCTTACCTTGACCTTCTGGCTTTCTCTTTGGGCATTCTAATTAAATCTTCCAAATGTCTATTTCTCTCTTCCAAACTGAGGGAAGAAACAATTGCATTTTTACACAAAAATGGACTTTTCAAGATGAATATTTTGTAACTTCTCTGGAGGCTGTCTCAGTCACTGTCCTATTGCTGTGAAGACACACCATGACCATGGCAACTCTTACAAAGGTAAGCATTTAATTGGGGGCTGGCTTACAGTTTTAGAGGGTTGGTCCACTATCATCATGGCAGGAAGCAGGCAGGCATGGCACTGGAGCAGTAGATGAGAGCTTTACATCCTGATCCACAGGCAGCAGGCAGAGGGAGACAGACACTGGACCTGGTATGGGCTTTTGAAACCTCTAAGCCCACCCCCAGTGACACACTTTCTCCAACAAGGCCATACCTCCCAATCCTTCCTAAACAGTTCCACTAACTGAGGATCAAGCATTCGAACATATGAGGCTACAGGAGAAAAGCTCATTCTCATTTAAACCACCAGAGACTATGAGTCAATACTGTAAGGATTATGAGCTAAGATTGTTATCTATAATAAAGCTACCCTATTAAATATTTTATGATGGGGGCGAGAGGAGGGAGGAGAGGGGGATCTGTGGCTGGTGTGTAAAATGAATAAAATTTTTCTTAATTATAAAAATTTTTTAATAATAATAAAAAATTATTTTATGATCAGATTTTTCTCATAACTAACATTAAATCCAAAGCTAATCATACACCATCTGTCCATCTCAAAATACAGGAATCTGGATCTTTTCTTGGCAATTCAGAACACTTGGTCAATTTTTCCCTTTATAGGTTCCAGGGCTAAAGATAAGAATAGATAATGACAAATGTCATTTAGATTTGTTTGTTTGCACAGAGGGTCAGTGTAATGTAGCCCTGGAGTGTGTTAACAGGGTTCCTTATCTGGAGCTGCTTTACCACAGGAAAATGTGTGATAGTGTCCTGCATGGTCACAGCATTCTGTTGGCCTGTTAGATAGAGATTTTCCTGTTTTTATGCATTTAGAAAGAGAGAGAGAGAGTTCCAAGCAAAAGACATTTACAATCTCAAATATATTCTTTAGGACATATAGTAAAGACACTAAAAAAGTTAAAAACAAACAGTTAAAAAAAAAAAAGCCAGCTCATCTACAAAGGCAAACACAGCACATTAAACGTCTCAAACCAGGAAAGAATGGAATTAGACAAAGACTCACACAGCACATCAAACCTCTCAAAGGAAACCCTAAAATCCAGTAAAGAATGGAATGGTATATTTCAAGTCCTAAAAGCCAATAACTTCCAAATAAGATTGTTGTGTCCCACAAAATTGTCTTTCAGAACAGTAGAGAAATTTGATTATTTTAAGACAAACAAACAACATCAGGGCTGCTAAGCCAACACTGAAGGATGCTTATGTGAACCCTGAATATAGAGGAGGAAGAGTGTGGACCAAGGAACACAGGGAAGAATACTCTTCTTGAAAAATAGATGAACAAGGGAGAACTAAGAAAGAATACAAAGTGCATGATACAATAAACCCACAAATCCCTAATATGAATAGAAGAGAGAGAACAGAACAAGTAATAATCCAATTAACCAGGAAAACAACCAATCAAATTACAGGAATCAGCACAGCACTCTCAATAATAACCCTAAGTGTAAGTGGTTTTAACTGTCCAATTAACCAATTAAAAAAA